GTGGCAGACGCATGAAGGTTGCAGCGAGAATCGGCGAGAGACTGCGAAGAGAGGTGGGAAGACGCAGATCACCAGGGGTTAGGAGGAGCGATGGCTACCACCACACAGGGATTCTAAGGAGAGGAGTGTGGTGCTAGCCATCGCCCACCCTAACCCTTGGTGATCTGCCTCTTCCTACCTCTCTTCGCAGTCTCTCGCCGATTCTCGCTGCAACCTTCATGCGTCATGCCACCTCGCGGTCGTCCCACTCTCGTCGTTCTCCGTCTTGTCGCTTCTTCCTCTGTCGCGTCGCTCTCCTCTGCCTCGTTCTGCGACGGCGCTGCCGCCTGCCGCTCCCTTGCTCTCGCTGCTTCTCTCGCCTTTCGTCGCAGCTCTGCCCTCCTCGCGGCAATATTTTCAGAGAGAGATTTTGTTTTGTCAATATTTTGGCCCCTCGAGTTTATCGAGCTCTCCTCGGACCTCGCGCAAGCGGCAAGGACGACTCTTCTGACGCCCACTGCGATCATTTGCCGCCAAGTCATATCGTTGCTCAGCCAGCTCAGGTCCACTCTCTCTTCGAACACTTGTACCTCCACAGATGATGTTGGCGCTGGGGTCCCCTTCGGGTGTATGAATCGTGACAGCAGAGCTGCCGACGGGATTACCACAGGTGTGTCGCCCTCCTCTGGTTCTCGTCTTCCTCGGCTTCCTCCCGTTCGGCTCTACGTTCAGTACGTTCAGCGTGGCTCACCCTCCATGCCGTGAACAGGCGCTTTATCCACTGAGGGAGGGTGTCGAGATAGAGGATGTAGAGTGTAGAGCGCTGTAGAGCTGTAGAGATGTAGAGCGCTGGAGAGCGCTGTAGAGCGCTGTAGAGCTGTAGAGCTCTACATCCGCCGCGGGACGAGGCGGGTGCGTTGTAGAGCGATGTAGAGGCGCTCTACAACGTGAAATCTCTACAACAAACTCTACGTCCGCATAACCGGCGAACGAGGCACGGTCGCTCTCCGACATGAGGCGCGTTGCACTTGCCAGTGCTGCCCTGGCCTTCTGTCTGCCCGCCCAATGGGTGGGAGGCGCCTCTGCTGCTGTGGCATGCCTCACGGCTGCGACTGGCCGGCGCCTCGGCGCGTCAGCTCGGCTCGGCGTAGTGATAGTGGCCAGCGCAACTCGCCTGGACTCAAGCTCAGCCAGGAGCTCCCGCACGCGCTGGCGCGAGTCATGGCGCATGCAACGCGTCTGAATGCTCGCCTCGCCTCGCGCAAATGCGACCGTCCTCGCAGCCGACAGTCCACCGCCTGAAGCACAGCGACGAATGCGGCACCGGCGACACATGGCAGGCTGGTCATGACGCAGTTATAGGGTGTTGTGTGCCGTCGGAGGGACTCTCTGTGTGTCAGGGATAGTCAGGGCTGTCCATCAGAGCTCCAGTAAGCTCGGAGACACCCCATTAGCGCGGCTCGACCTCTTTGAGTCACTGCCTTCCCGGCGGTTTGGCTGTAGAGCCTCTACACAACAAACTCTACAGCAAAATCGCGCTCTACATCGCTCTACAACGGAGGCGCTTCGTCCCGCGGCGGATGTAGAGCTCTACAGCTCTACAGCGCTCCAGAGCGCTCTACATCTCTACAGCTCTACAGCGCTCTGCACTCTACATCCTCTACACCCAGCCTCCCTCAGTTTATCCACCCTATATTCTTCTCTCGCTCCTCTGCCCGTGCCTTGGTCTTGTCGTTGTTTCGCATCCATGTCAGTATGGCGATCGAGGCTGCCTTCCCCACTACCTGTAGTTCACTCGAGACTCGTCACCTCTCCGGCGAGCTCCGCCCCCCTCTTTCACTTTCTTTCGGGTATGGAGTCCGTGAGTGCGGGCAGCGTGCAGGCAATCACGGGCGCTATTTTGTCGTACTCCTCTTCGGCGAGCGCTCCAAATCTAGACCCCATTGCCTTTAGGGGCAGAAAGAAAGAAAACGGACAAACCAAGGGAGGGATGGGAGGACGGCACTTTAGGGGCGACGGAGTAGGTCGCACGCACTTGGAGCACTTGGAGTGCAGTCATCAACCTCACATCCAGGGCCGGGGAGCTGAGAAGCGCACCCAGCGAGCCGGATGATCGGCATCGGGCTACGGGCTAGAGCCCTGACCCAGTCTCTCCATTTTTTTCCGAGGTCGCCCCCGCGACGGCCGGCCGGTGTTGAGGGCTGAGGTATATGTCCCTTCCGCGTGTCCTCTCCATCCAGTCGCACACGGTGCACGGCTACGTCGGCAACAAGTCCGCCGTCTTCCCGCTCCAGCTCCTCGGCTTCGAGGTGGACCCGATCAACTCGGTTCAGTTCAGCAACCACACCGGCTACGCTGGCGGCTTCCGCGGCGAGGTGCTGCAGGGCGCGCAGTTGACCGCGCTGGTGGACGGGCTCCACAGCAACGGCCTCCTCGAGGGGTACGCCTGCGTTCTCACTGGCTACATCGGCTCAGCCTCCTTCCTGCACGCCGTCCTCGACGTGCTGCGCCGGCTGCGCGCGGCGTCGCCAGAGGTGGCCTACTTTTGCGACCCGGTGATGGGCGACGGCGGCAAGCTGTACGTGCCCGCCGAGCTGCTCGCCATCTACCGCGACCAGGTGGTGCCTCTCGCCGCCGTGCTCACGCCGAACGGGTACGAGGCGGAGCTGCTGACCGGGAGGAGCATCCTCTCGGAGGCGGAGGCACGCAGCGCGTGCGAGGCGCTGCACGAGCGCGGCCCGCACACGGTGGTCATCACCTCGATTGCGCTGCCCGGCCGGGACGACGAGCTGCTCATGCTCGCCTCGCGACGAGACGGTGCCGCGAGCCGGCAGTGGGCGCTGCGGCTGCCGCGGCTGCGTCAAGACTTCACGGGAACGGGCGACCTGACGGCGGCTCTGCTGCTCGCGTGGATGCAGCGGCTACCGCGCGCGGAGCAGCTGGGCGAGGTGCTCGAGCGGGTGGGCGCCAGCCTGCAGGCTGTGCTCGCGCACACGCAGGCCGCCGGCCGGTCGGAGATCTGCCTCATCCAGTCGCAGGCGGAGCTGCGCGAGCCCGTGGTCAGCCACAGGGCGGAGCCGCTGCCGCAGGCGGCGGGGGGCTCGTGACGAGTGGGAGGGCGGGCGAGGCCTGATCGGAACAACGGGCTTTGGAGGAGCCTTAAGCCCTAGGTGCTTTCAAAAATAAGAGGGCTCCCGCGGCGATCAACACGCGCAACTTTTCTAAATTTCACGAGTCTTCTGTCAAGCGTTTCGTGGACCGAGTTTGCCCATGATGGCCATGGCCGCCGCCGCCGCCACTGTCGCCGCCGCGGCCTCTGGCCGAGTAGCCCTAGTAGACCCCGTGCTAGCGGTACGTGGAGCCGACTTGCTCGCACGACCGGGCTGCACGGGGAGCCGGAAGGCACACACGAACACTGACGCCGCAAAAGGGGCTTGGCCCGAACCGTGGGCTGGCCTGCCCGCCCGGCAAGGCCGAGATACCTGGCTACGAGTGGAGAACCTGACGATCCGGAGCGGCGCAGTCAGGCCCGCTGTGCCCGCTGTGCCCGCTGTGCCCGCTGTGCCCGCTGTGCCCGCTGTGCCCGCTGTGCCCGCTGTGCCCGCAGAGCTCGCAGACAGGTGGTGCTCTGGGCCTGGCCGAGTGGTCGTGGTACACCCCGTGCTAGCGGCGCGTGGAGTTGATATGCTCGCACGACCGGGCTGCACGGGGAGCCGGAAGGCAACCACTGACGCCGCAAGAGGGGCTTGGCCTGAACCGTGGGGTGGCCTGCCTGCCGGGCACGGCCGAGATACCTGTCTAAGAGTCTCGGCAAGGAATGTGCCCACGGGGTGGGGTTGCCCATGTGTGGCGGCTGGATGGATGGACGAGTGCGCGTTTATGCCCGTGTATGCCCACTGGCTGGGGCTGGCCTTGGCCGCATTGGTGATGGCCGTGGTGTGGAGAGCCGCCGGTGCGCGGGGCGTGAGAGGATGGCCAGACCATGGGTGGCTCGCCTGGCGAGGCAGGCCGCCGGGCCTGGCCACGGGGAGGCTGGGGCAACGAACCGGCACCAACACAACCACTGACAGAGAGGACACGAGGGGAACAATACCCAGGATCGGAGCACTACACTTCGACCCGTCGTGGTACCCGCCCTGGCCCACGTGGGGAGCATACGAACTAACGCCCAGCCAGTATGAAAAACGCAAAGAGAAGGAGAGGCGCCGACCAAGTAGGATGAATAGGCGGAGGAGACTTGGACGGAGGGCGCCAAACCGCAGGGCACTGACACAGGCGGCGCTACGGCTAATGCCGATCCAAGCCCGAAAACGGCGTGTGCGGGAGTGGTGGCGGGGGCAAAAGCGAAGGGAGATGGACCCACACCTAGCCTTCTATGGCGTGCCGGCATACAGGGAGGGGCGGGAGAGAGCAGGGGCTCGACCTGACGAGGGGAAGGGAGAGACACAGCCGAGGGCGCCACCTGTGGAGCAGGAGCCAGCAGGAGGAGACGGAGACGTGAAGAGAGAGGGTAGGGGCAGGCCGCAATCTTGGGAACGGAGGCGGAGAAGGCGCGTTGACGCCAGGGGCCTGCTGCAGAGGCTGGATGAGGAGAGGGCAAGGCGGGGGGAGGAACTGCTCACGGATCCCGACCTCGAGCACCTAGGGGTGCCGGCAGACTATGTGTGGCAAATGTCAATACAGGAGTGGAACGCGCTCATGCGTGCGCTGCACGGCAACGGGCGGGGGGCGGGCCGCGGTGGAGCGCGCGGGGGGGGCAGGGGAGCGGCAAAAGCGCGGGGAGGGAGAAGCGAGCAAAAGGAGCGGATGAGCGACTGCAAGCCCGCGCTACAGCAGATCGAGGCGGCGTACCGAAGAGGCTCTCTTGAGGGGCTCAGGGAATGGGACCGAGGAGGGGCATTAGAGGGGATATGCAGATATCGCGCCCAGCTTGAATCCGTCACGTTCCTGTGGGTACCGAGCCACGCGGGGTGCGCTAGCAACGCCTACGCCGACGCCGCGGCGACGGCATACATGGGGGCCAGCGAGATTGAGGATGCCACCGCCGTCATCCGTGAAGCAGTGAGGACACGCCCGTGCCTGTACACGGACCGCCGGAGGACGGCAGACAGAGAGTGGGGGCGGGAGGTACTGGACCGGAGGACCTATTACGCCACACGCGGCCACACGAACGAGTGGGTGCGAGGACGGCTCGGCGAGGGGCTCACGGCGGGGTCGCACACGGCAGGGGTGACGGGGCCGCTGTGGAGCGATGTGGTCAGGGGAACAACGAGACATAAATGGGACAAGCGCCAGCGGATCAAGGATCAGCACGGCGAGCGCGAGATTGAATTCGCCGACGTGGATGATCACAACGTGGTGACAAAGACCGTCATGGGAGCGCGTGTGCGGCAGCAGGCGGGGGTGCCACACGGAGCGCATCACGAGAGGATTATGCGGGGAGAGGCGGGGAGAGAGACCCCGGGCGCCGCCACGAGGAGCGAACTCAGGGGCTGCCTCGTATGTAAGGCCGCGAGGGACGCGGCGAGGAGGGCGGCACTAAAGCGGGACCCGCTGTGCCCGACCGTGCGGAAAGCCGCGCAGCAATGGACCGAGGAAGATGAGAACCCGCCTAGAGCGACAATGGCGCACTTGCTTAGCGGCGCCTGCCCGGGGAATAGGGAGCAGGCCAGATGGTTCCTCAGAGTAGCGCGAGCGCAGACGGGGACGGCGATCAGCAAAGTAGCGCAGGCGGCACCCGACTCCAAGGATACGCTGAAGACGCTGAGAATAGCGCATGTCGCTGCGCTGAAGGGCTCACGCTATAGGGTGCTGGATGAGGACGGGTACGAGGCACTTGCACCAGCCGTCGGGGGGGTGTTGCCGGCGCTGGTAGATGATCTCCCGGAGAAGAGTCGGAGGGACCTTGGCGCCGGGGTCACGAGGAACTTGCAAGTCGTGGCCGAGGCGGCGACGGGAGCGGTGCAGAGGTGGATCCAGCTCAATGATGAGGCTACGGCGCGCATAATGAAGAGAGAGGAACACATCGAGTGGCTGAGGAAGCTCTTCGCTGGGTGGAAGGAGGCCCGGCCAGCCTTGAGGGAGTCGCGGAGGAGGAGGGATAATGGAGGTAACGTGGGAACAGGCCAACAGCCAGTGGGACGAACGAGGGCCGCGACGGCGGCTCAAGCGGGAGGGAGCGGAGACGGTGGGCAGAGAGCGAAGTGGGTGAGACTGATGATGCTCCTTCGACTTAGGGAGCGGTTCAGATGCTGGGCGGGCTTCAGGCTGGTGCTCACGCGAACAGGAATCGACGCGATGTGCAAAGCATACAAGAAGGGGAGAGGGAAGAGGAGAGACGCCGGTGAGGACGAAGCAGAAACTAGCGCAGACGAGAGCAGGGCAGACCCGGGGACTGGGGAGCCGGAGCAGACGGCATCGGCCGCCGAGGAAACGTTGGGAAGAGGCACGAGGAGGGCGGCGACTTCGACCGACTATGGAGGACCCGTCGCCAGACGACGCAGGGCAGAAGACGGTGAGGCGGAGCAGACGCGCAGGGCGAGACGAGGGAGGGAGCAGGACTTTGCGGAGATCAGCAGGAGGATGTACGAAGAGATTAGGAGCAGCAGGGACCCGAGGGACCATGTGAAGACGGCTAGTGCTAGTCCCCCATCGGGGGGGGGGGGGGGGGATAAACGCTGCGCCGCCCCCGCACCAGCGACACCGGCCGCGGCTCGCCTCCACGCGCCGGCTCGGAAGAGGGGCTGTCGGCGGCGCAGCAGAGCGGCACGCCTCGGCGCTCGAGCCGCCGACAGCCCCACTCCTCGACGTGACGGCCGCTCCCGGAGCCAGCCGGTGCGCGCCCGACCCACGCCCCCTCTCGCACCCCTCCGACCCCCCCTGCGCGGCGCACCTATCCGCTGTGCGCCGGCTCGAGCGCCTATCGCCAAATCGCGACGTTTGAGCGCAGCGCACGCGTCCCACACGTCACGCGCGCGCAGGAGAGCGTGCGGCACAGCTGTAGCGTGTACTCGCCGAGGGCATCGCGCCGAAAACCCCGCGCATTCCGCCCCAGCAGAGGCTGCAGCCTCTGCACAAGCTACACCACTGTAAGAATGGTGAGTACTTGGGGTTGAGTGGGCTTGCTTGCTCCCTAAGCCGGGAGCAAAAATGCAAGAATTTTGACTAATGACCGAAAATGGGCAAAAGCGGCAGTCGACAGCAGGGGCCGAGAGTCTATTACAAAGTAGAAGGCGGGAGCGGCGAGCCTGTGTTAGACACTGGTGGGAGCGCGCTGAACTGTGGGCAGGGGACAGGCAGCAAGCGCAGCAGCCGCGGCGCCAGCAGTCAAAAACGGACGCCGGCAGGTGGCAGCGGAAGCCAGACCTGCGTCTTCCGCGCTCACCAACTGCAGCTGCGTATGTGCGCTCACATGCCCTGCGGCGGAAGGGGGTAGACGGGGGCGGGGGTGGGCGGAGCGTCCGCCCCGGGGCGCGCGCTCGCGTGCTAGGGCCCGCTGCGCAGACGCGGCATGGGCGGCACTTAGTGCTCACCACGAGGTGGCCGCCATCGTGGTAACAGCGCCAGAAGAACCAGAGCCACGCAGCGGTCGCGAAGCCCTCGCCGACCCGCTTCTGCCACATGGGCACGTGGGGCGGAGTGAAGCCGCGGAACTCGCCCTTGCCGTACGTTTTGGGCCCGTGCGACGCGTGCCGCTGCGTTGTCCGGAGCACGTGTGCCACACGCGTCGCCCGCGCCGCGCCCAGCATGACGCACCGGACGGCCTGCGGAGGGGGCGGGGCAGCGTTGGGGCGCGGGAGGAGGCGACGGGGCGTGCGGCGGAGAGGTGAGAGAGGCGTGCGCAAGCAGAGGAGGGAGCTGAGAGTGGCGCCGAAGCAGCGCTCCTCCCTCTGTCGGGAGAAGAATTTGCGCGCCGAGGCACCTAAGTTTCTTCTTGCGTGTCTGTTTTGGGAAACTTTCTTCTCCAACCGTGCGCGCGCTGGGCGAGAGCCGTAGCAGAGGAAGACATAACGACGACTCAAATAACTGCCCAACTCGATGCGCAATGGCCAGGCTTCGCGAGAAGAGATCCTTCCTCCTCCAAGCGATGCCCTTCATGTTCCTCATGGCCGCCGGCTCGTGGGGCCTCAGCCGCTTCCTCCGACTGCCGACGCAAGTCAAAGACGACCGTGCGCGGCGCCGCAAGCAGGGGCGCGCCAAGTTTGACCTGCAGCAGGAGCACGAGGCGCGCCAGCATGTCGCCCGCAGCCACGCAGTTCTGCCGCGCCATTCACCGCGCCTGCGCGCCTCGGTCGCAGGCGCTCCTCGCACAAGTCCAGGACGACTACGAGAATGTACGCGTGCCTGGTCCCCGCAACCCGAACCGCAAGCCCGCGGATTGACCGGAGCGGGGATCGCATGAGACGGCACAATCGATCGCATCGCCCTGCGGCTCCCGCTTGCCGGCCGCACCACGCGTGCACTAGATTTTCCAGGCGGAGGCGCGCTACCTTCCGCACCCTGGCCAGGCAGCGCAGGCATACAGGTCGCACGCAGGCGCGGCGGAACGCGGAGAAGCAGTGCACGCCTCTGCGAGCAGGCGCGACCGACCGCAGCCCCGCTATCGCGACCCTTCGCGTCCCTCACACGCCAGAGTGCTCTGCGACGTGCGCACACCGTGTCCTCTGTGATGACTGTCGTGTCGCGT